GACGTTTTTAACAGTATTCCAGTTATATCATGGCATGTCAGCATAATGGGGAGGAAAGCCCGAAAGTGATGCAGGTCTTAGATGTTTCCACTTTGAGCTGACTTAGAAACATAATCGGGGTGAACTGGGATTCAAAACCATGATCGAATTTTTTTTGGCGTGCCCAAGGGACGCAACAGGGAATTGTGGTGAGACGACTGGGCCCTCCATGCCCCCAAACTAGCTTTTAATTGTTTCTTACACTTTGGACTTAATCAAATAAACAAATATTGCTAAACGGAGTGAGAAAGGCATATTTGTTGAAATTCAAAAGAAAATCTAAGTATTAGCAAGTCCATGACTCGACAAAAGTGTTTTAAATGTCTTTCTGTTCATCCACATCCATGAAAAGATCAGCTTGGGCCAAAGACTTACTCATTTCAAATATAAGAAAAACTTTAATGAAAACTCTAAAATCAGCCTTTTTGCCCCATTTTACCCTTACCTATGTTGTCATAAGTCCCAAACATGCAACTGTTGTAATGAACCAAGTTGATTTCTCATTCATATGAACACATCTAGTAAATTTCATAACACTTTCTACAAATGTTGCTTCTTTCTTGAAAAAATGTAGATCCCGTCTGCCGAAAAAGGCCCTTATTCTACCTTGTCTTTTCTGTCACTTTCAAAAATGAAATTGTGAAAGTTTCAAAAGTTTGTATATGGTTTAATAAACTGGAATGTTATGTATATTTATATAAAAATCAAGCTAAAGAAACTGCATAACAAGTAGATGATTACTAACATACAATACCTAAATGGACTAAAGGGGAGATAATCGTAGATATATCTCAAATTACCTCCCCTGATCACTAAGCTTGGTTCTGGGTTTTCAGACCGGGAAGCCACAAACCCCTGCACACAAATGTCATGTACTGTATGTCGTGTTTGCTTTACACACTATCTGTTTTCAAAACAGAAACAGTTTCATGTCACGTTTGAACTAATAAAGCTTGAACATATGTTGGTGTATACAAATATATATCATGCTAACCAAAATAATAGTCTTGGTTCTCAGGCACCGCCCACATCATCATAAAGTTTGCAACACGTTTCATTTATATTTCCATTTTTTTTTTTAAAAAACCCAAAAACTTAAATATTCCAAGTCCAACGGTAGTCAAATACTGTATTCCTATATTTACTTATAAAGGAATACAATTCATGTAGTGAGGCCCTTTCCCCAGTTGTACCCGTGAAGATCCGGGGTAGAATAGGTCTTCAGCAACCCATGCTTGCCATAAAAGGCGACTATGCTTGTCGTAAAAGGCTCGTTGACTTGGTTGATGCATGTCATCGATCCCAATTGTGGATCGATGCTCATGATATTAATCACTGGATTGTCTTGTCCAGACTCGATTATTTACAGACCGCCGTCATATAGCTGGAATATTGCTGAGTGCGGCGTTAAACAACCAACCAACCAACCATCTTTCCCAGGTTGATTGTACACTACATTGTTTATCTGGTTACACAACTGTTTATTTGGTTACATACTAGTTTGAACAACTGACACTGCCCGCCCTCACTATATTTTCAAAAGCCATTGCCTGAGAACCAATTCTTAAATGTTTTTAAGCCTCAAGGATTAAGACTAGATCAAGCATCTAGAAACAAATAATGGAGGTAATATCTATGTTCATGTCCATTGTTATACAACAATCAAACTCATAAATATTACTGATTAGATTTAAAAAAGTACAAATTGGAATTTGCCATCGCTGAAGATTTTTGATTGGAAGGACTAGCTTAGCTAATGAAGACAGACATTTTGGCTGCGGATGGAACAAGGTTAATAAGCAAACAAGCTCAACATTATTTCTGGAAGAATACATTTCAAATATTTCAATATTTCCAAAACATCTCTTAATGAATGGGACTAACTTCTCCATGGAAGAAGCATAGATATTCCATCCCAACCTTACAAAAAAACATACATGTACTAATCGGTGGTAACAAATTAATTACAGAACCATCAAAATGTTTCTGTCAATAATGGAAACTACATATATACTCACTGACAAAAGAAACGCAAATACCATATATGCTGGTTATTATGTAAAGAATTACTAAGTGAGTGAGTGAGTGAGTGAGTGAGTGAGTATGTTTTACGCCGCTTTTAGCAATATTCCAGCAATACCACGGCGGGGGACACCAGAAATGGGCTTCACACATTGTACCCATGTTGGGAATCGAACCCGGGTCTTCGGGGTGATGAGCGAACGCTTTAACCACTAGGCTACCCGACCGCCCCTAAAGAATTACTGATATTCAAGAGATATTAGATTGGTTCGATGCAAAAAAAAACCCAAACTGTTATGTTGTGTCAACCGACGCTCATGAAGTGACGTTATAGATCGATGACTCGAGACGCAACATTTGTCTCATGCAGGATTAGCGTGTAAAGTTTGGAAATCACGTGCAGCATATTGTAATAAGAATAAAGACACACTGGAAACACTTGATTCATTGTTAGTTTTGTCATTAAGTGGTACACATAGGAAACATCTCTTCCTAATGTACATACTTCTCTATATGTTTCTATGGTTGCGTTTCTTTTGAGAGTGAGTATACTTCTAAAATTATTCCTTGTCTTCAGGGAGCTACCCCATGTCAAACTCGGGTTGGGAAGAGCTGCCCTAGTCTAATAGACATAGCACCAGCATTGACAAACAACCTTCCAATACATCTTGATTAATGATCCTATGACTACACCGGAACACTAAACTGCTGGCATATCAGCTCAGCCACTGAAGCCGCTGCCTAAACTCTGCTGATCCAGTGTTTTACATCTCCATCCTAGTCTGATACAGACCCTGGACCCATTCGCGTCTATACCTTCGTTTCAAGCCAGATGCAATTAGCCTGATGTCCAATCAACACTCTGGGATTGTGTGAGTTTAATGAGTGATTATTGCTTAACACTGCATCAACAATCTTGCAGCTATTTGCGATGAGGTCGTAGGTAAGAGATAGGAGATGGAGGTTGTGATGCAACTTCAGAAACGAAGCTATGGCGATTGGGTCGAGGGTGTTAATAGAATGGATCCATAATACCCTGGATCAATGAGGATGCACCTATATATACGGCACTGGTCGTACATCAGAACCCTGTATGCAAGATACGCTATAGTGTAATTATTACACGCGGAAAGCGCACGTTAAATCTCCGATGTCAATACAATACATCGGAACTGTACATTCACTCTTGGACAGTCATATTTTATGCATTAAGTACAAAGTTTACCATTCGAACATGGTGGAACATACAGTAAAAGGACAACATGGACGTACAGAGGCTGGAGGGTTTACCGTTGGATGGTTCATCGAGATACTTTGTAAGTGTCTCATCCTATTTCTAAACATGACATCATGAAACATTTGAACTTATCATTGCACATGGAAATCAATTCTAAATAGCCTTTTCCTCAAAGCGAAAAATAAAACACTTATTAAGTACTCTATTTATTTAAATATTTATTTCCTTGCAGATTGAGTGTTATTACTGTCTATTGCCTAAGGGACGCTGCTCTACAGCGAATCACGGTGCCTTAGACGACTGGGCCACCCGTACCCCCACCTATTATCTGAAATACATCTAAGATCTCTGCACAATCTCTATTTTCTTGAATGCTCCTCGTGTAAAAGTTGAATTTCCCTTCATTAAAAAATATATTTTCCCCATTTCAGCTGTTTTTATTCCCTGTTATAATGTTTAACAAAAACAGCTTAAATATTGTTACAAAGTTTCAACCTCATTAAATGGAATATTTCCGCAAAACATGAATGCCCAGTGATAAGACAGGGGACTGTTTTACTCCAGGTGACTGTTTACTCCTTGTAAATAATTCCATCTGTAACACCTAGTATCTGTCATCCTGTAAACAAACCGCTCATTACATGTGTAATTTAGTTACCATGGCGACACCAGCTATAAACAATGCCCATGTTAACACTTCCATCTACCTGTATGTGAATACATATGAAATGAAGATGAAGTATTATTGCTTATGACAAATATTGTATAACGACAAAATACTCTTAAAATACAGCAAAGTTTATGTTTAAGAATCTACTTTTGAAACAGCATATGCAAACATTTGGAATGATTATTATGAATGTAAAAAATTTTCATATCAAAGAAAGTTGTAACTTCAAAACTATATTTCATTCTTATGATTTGTGGCAATGAACACTTACTTTATAATAATTACTGTCAACGGCTAAGATTCTTGAATACCCTTACAGACGACATTGTTCAATAACAAATCACAGCCTGGCAAAGCAAGAAAGCATCTTTGTTCTTAACGGCTTGAGATCTAGTCTTCCCACAACTTTTCATGTGGTACGCCCAGCTTGCACTGGGGTAGCTTCCTGTGGCCTCCCAGCATGCACTAGTGCAGCTTCCTGTGACCTTCAAGCATACATTGGTGGCCTCCCAGCATGCACTGGTGGTAGCTTCCTGTTGCCTCCCAGCATGCACTGGGTGCAACTTCCTCTCTGAATGCCTTGAAGTACACCTGCACTCTGACAGGAAATGATCACCTCCAACCGATCCAGTAACAGATATACACAATGAATAACAGTCATGACCTATATACACACTGAAGACAATGCCAGACTGGTGTCCTCTTGAAACACTCTGTTGTCAAGGCTACCCATAATTCAATTTGTCAACATCAACTGTACAGCTATATACACAATGACATCCTGTCTGGGTGTGACTACACAAAGGATCCGAGCCTCCAAGCCTCCAAGCTGCTGTCACCAGTGTCTGGAACACACAGAGAAGTTGGGAAAGATGCCAACCCCTCCACTTTCGAATTTCAACTGTCATGTCCTTATGCCTACGGAACTTAAAATGACAGGAAAATGATTTTTGGAAACGATATAAGCACCTGCTTTTCCAAAAAGGTACACTTGCTGTTCTCTGGTCTGGTTACATTTAAGGACAAGTTTTAAAGACGATAGTCTTGATTTGACATTTGAAGTGCTGAGATCGCTTTGTGCAATACAGCCCCAATGACGGTCAGTTCATCCCCGGAGTCAGGCTATTGTGGGCTTTGTTCTGGTGATGTCGTGTGGCCATTGGCCCGCTTCAGTTCTGTAATGGTTTCAAGACTAGAATTACGATTGTTGGGAGTGTCCGTGTTATTGCTGGTGGGAGTGAATGGATTAATCTTGTATTTTTTGTAATATGCCACAGGGTCTCCGAAGAGCTCAGGTGGAAGCGGCACGCTGTGGCTAATGTACAAATGTAGGGCCTCGCACAACTGGTTGATCTTCTCGAACGTTGGCCTGTTGTCCGGTGACATCAGGCAGCACATGACGGCAAGCATAAAGAACGGTCTTGGACAATCCTCACAGAAACGTTTCTCGAACATCTCGACGTTCAGTCCGAAATCCATGGTTCTTGGAAGAAACTCTGGGTCTGCAAATACTCTGGAGATGACCTGTGAACAGAAGAGTGAGTGAGTGAGTGAGTGAGTGAGTGAGTGAGTGAGTGAACAGGGTTTAAGCACCTCTTTGAAAAGTACATCAGCAATAGAGTTATGAGTGACAAGTCGTAGGTTTAACCCTCTGAGAAAAATAAGGTGTGAACTTATATTGCGCTAGACTCCAAAAACAAGTTGCATTCCATAGGGGAAGATGTGCACAGCACTGGGGATTACTCACAGACAATGATGCCGTAGGAGAAGACGTGTGCTACACCGGGATGAACTCACCTCACAGACAACGATGCCGTAGGAGAAGACGTCGACCTTCTCATCATACACGCCTGTCGTCATCATCTCAGGAGCCATCCAATAGGGACTGCCGACTACAGTGTAACGTTTGCGGCGGGAGAAACGTTTCTTGGATGAGCGGTTAGATTTGTCTCTGTCCTTTGTCTCCTTCTCCTTCTCTCGCCCCCAGAAAAACATGTCTCTCTGTCTGGGGATGATCTTTGCCAGACCGAAGTCTGCTACCACCACTCTCTTGTCCTGGAGAAACAACAGTGCAGTGAGGGATGGTATGGTGGTAACACCTCTTTGGTTACAGCAATTCAGTGAAACCCCACTGATCAAATTAAAACCAAAACACTGATGTACTTGGGCTGGTGGATAAAGATTGAAATCTGGTATTGTTTTAAGATAATAAGGAATGTGATACATAAGGTATAATATCTTTATTAAATGAGTCTTCTGAAAAATATAGCATGGGTTCTCTTCAAACACTTTTTACACCAGTTGTAAGGGAACTAGTTTATAACAATCTTACACCAGTTGTGAGGTAACTAGTTTATAACAATCTTATACCAGTTGTGAGGGAACTAGTTTAAGACACTTTAATACCAGTTGTGAGGGAACTAGTTTATGACTCTTACCTCTCGGACCAGGCAGTTGTTGGAGTTGAGGTCTCGATGGATAATGTCCATGGAGTGGAGGTACGCCTACAACGACCAACATCATTGTCACAACATCATCACAATTCATAGTTCAAAAACATTTTGAAAAGGAATTGCTAGCTTTCGGCCTCAATGAGACACAAAACATGTCTCTCATTCCTTGCCACTTTAACAAGTATTCAATTGGAACCAGTTATTCAAATGATTCCTAATGAAATATTTGGTAAAGACGACGTGCAAGACTACAAATGTTATCATCCATTATCCCTTCAGAAAGTTACAACTGGCTTCTGTCAGAACTAACAGGAAGCATACTGATCAAACAAAATAAACAGACACATCCACATCCTCTTACGACCAGGACAGGCTGCAGGAAATCCCTAAAAGTATCAGCCCTATCTACAGGTGATCAGTGAAGTAAGGGTGGAATCACTGGTCAAATAGAACCAGGAAGTAGTAGTGGAGTTATCCCCCTTTGTCTCACCATCCCGGATGAGATGTCCCTGGCTATCTTGATCCTGTCCTCCCATGTGATGTCTTGCTCCATGTCTCGGAGCATGTCCGTCAGTGTCCCGCCAGCTACGAACTCTGTAGTACCCAATAAAACATCAATGACCAAGCAAAAGTCTTTTTTCTCTCATTACTTTCCAAAATATGTCTGCCCTGTATGTCAGGTCTTATTAATCCTGACTGAAGAACATGACAAGGGCAGGTAACTCTACAAAATTCACATCCTGGTTTTAATTTATTCAATAAAATTGTCTAAAATATCCAGATTTTGCTACCATTTGAGGGAGTGGTCATTTATGACATGGGAAGGGTAGTCGGTGAAATTATTATGGAACTGTACCAATTTTTCATTGTATGAGTAAGTGAGTGAGTAAGTATATTTTTTTTTACGCCGCTTTTAGCAATATTCCAGCAATATCACGGCAGGGGACGCCAGAAATTGGCTTCACACATTGTACCCATCTTGGGAATCGAACCTGGGTCTTCGGCGTGATGAGCAAACGGTTATCCACTAGGCTACCCCACTGCCCATAATGGCTGCTGTGGCAACTGATAAACTAAAAAATTCTTCTCATGTTATAGTCTGTAAAACTTCTAGCACCTCATATGACAGCTTGGGTTGTATACTCCATATTTGAGTTCAAACTACAGCTACTTTTGATCACATCTAATGCCGTCTGGTACTGTAGTTAGTAAATGTTCCAGAGGAGCTCATCGTTACCTGTGACTAGGTTGAGCTTCTTGTCCCGGTAAAGGACTCCCATAAACTTGAGCACACACGGATGGTCCAGATTCCGCAGCAGAGACACCTGGAACAGAGTGAGTGAGTGAGTGAGTGAGTGAGGGAGGGAGGGAGGGAGGGAGGGAAGGAGGGAGTGGCTTCCCATTGTCACCAGGCATACAGCTGCACCAAAGGGTGTTTGGAAATCTGAACCTGACTACCACTAGTACCAGTGGTTGATAGCATCAGTCTGCATCGTGGAGGGTGGTAGCTTATGATTATCCCAATTGCAGCCTTAGACTGCCATGGTGTGCTGGGACACACCTAGCCCTCTCCCCAGATTATGGACAAGCACCTGATCCGACATCTTACAGTACAACTGTTGCGATATAGATCTAAACTGTATTCGACGTAATAAGTGACCAGGGCGCTCTCAAAATTAGAAATAGGGGGCGCTTATTAGAATATAATTTTGGTGAAAAAACAAAACAGAATTTGTGATTTGGCAAACGCAGAAAACGACTGCTCTAAGTATTTTACCCCCTTAGATAAATATGTCTCTTACAAATAATACAACCTGCATACTTGCACTTATTGACTTACATATCTATGTATTTGTGATAACACAATTCCACATTAATGATGAGTAAAAATGATCGTCGACGCCCATCGTTCCAAACAGGAAGTACCGGTAATCAGCAGGTAAAGTTGAAAAATAAAATATAAACATCCGCTTTGTGTTTGTGATTTTCAAATATTACCTTATATTACTAACCTTTATTTTTCAGTTATAATGATGTTTTATTTAATGTTTATTACCACTTCTTTGTTTCAGCAACTCATTTGTAAAATTGTGAATATGTTTTTTCAAAACGTGTTTGTTGTTATTATGTCGGCTATGGTGCTGGTCATGATGGGTCACTAGTTCAACAATCAATATATCCAGCTTTTGAATGAAAATACTACAACTACCTACCTGAGATTAATTTATAAACATTTTCTGAAGAAAATGTATGCAAATATCCTAAAAATCTAGTCTTTAAATAATCATCGTTTTCAGAAGTAACGTAACTTCGCAAAACAGCACTGCCACAAGCTAATTTGCATATCATGTGACCAGACTTTTTTCTCGGTTTTTAAACAAACGCTGAAATCAGAACAGACTGACGCATTACATATTGTTTTGAATAATTATTTGCAACTAAAACTGCGACTGTGAGGTGCACGTCGTTATATATTAAAGCATCAACGTGATCGTATCAGTATCTCTCCACATGGCTTCGATGACATCACATGATGTAAACAAACGAAAACTACACAAATGGAAATAGTTTTTCACGTTTTGAGATATTTTCTTATTGAAAGTTAACGATGACATATGTTTATCTTGATGTGTAGACTTGTTAAAAAATGAAACAGAAAAAAATAAGATCATTCTTGCATTAATAAATATGAGTTGGCGTTGTCGCGGTCTGTGGTAAAGCGGGTTCTATGGAACAGGATGAACGGAAGTTGTAAATATCGTAGGGACATGATTTCGCCAAAATTAAGTAAACATTATTGAATGAAATTGAATAACATTATTAAACTAGATTACAAACATAAGTCCAGTTAACATGGTTATACAATGGAAACTTAAATAGTGTAACAAAAGGGTTAACTTGCATACCGTATTCGACGTAATAAGCGCCCAGGGCACTCTCAAAATAAGAAATAGGGGGCTCTTATTACAACAGTATTTTGGTGAAAAAAGACCAGAGTTGAAACATAAATTTCGTGGTTTATACTGACAGCCTGAAATGTTTATGTACGACAGATATATTTTTCCAGAATTTAATTGTCCATAATTAAGGGTGCATATGACACAGGACTACGTATTATATGCGAATAAATAAGTCTTGTGTACATTGATCAATCGGAAGGGGTGCTAATTGGGATTGTTCACTAGCCAATATAATAGCAAACATGGCCATGGGCGGTTATTAGAACTGGGCGCTTATTACGTCGAATACGGTGATTCAATACAGATTTTTTTATTTTCGATGACGGATCATGACAGTCACATATATACGATCGCCTGAAATGGAAAGTCTGTGCGTATCATACACGAAAGATATATCTTTCCAGAATTTAATAGCCCATAAGTAAGGGTGCACATAACACACAAGTGCATATTATACTCAAATAAATAAGTCTTGTGTACACTGATCAATCGGAAGGGGTGCTTATTGGGATTGTTCACTTGCCAAATTATTAGCAACTATCACCATGGATATCATGTCGAATACGGTAGTGCCTTTCCCAGATACCAGCTTTAATAAATCTCGGGACCAATTGAATTTTAAGTACAAGTCAGTTTAGAATAATTTATTACAAGTATTACAGATGGACAGATTTATCACCATAATCAACAACAACATTTACATATTTATCTGAGAACCTTCTAAAACACATGCACTACGTAGCATCCACCATTAGTGGGTGTTCCGACAAGAGTTCTCTCCCTTACCTCATGCAGGAAGCTCTTTTGACCCTCTTCATCAAACTTGAAGAGTTCCTTGAGCACCATGACTTCCCCTGTGACTCGGTGGGTTACCTGATGGAGACGAAAATACAAACACTGATTTTCATCTCATATTTCCTGCACCCATTTCACATTCAAGAGCAGATTTATGCTCACTGTCAATTTCCTTATCATCCAACAAAAGTGAACATGACAAGAGTGACGGTTGGTAGAAACTTGGACATAATACTGTTATCTCGCCCATCCTGCCTAGAGCAGACAAACCAGTGGTTGATAACATGAGCATCAACCACAACACACATCAATCAGTCTGGGACATAATACTGTTATCTCACCCATCCTGCCTAGAGCAGACAAACCAGTGGTTGATAACATGAGCATCAACCACCACACACATCAATCAGTCTGGGACATAATACTGTTATCTCACCCATCCTGCTTAGAGCAGACAAACCAGTGGTTGATAACATGAGCATCAACCACCACACACATCAATCAGTCTGGGACATAATACTGTTATCTCGCCCATCCTGCCTGGAGCAGACAAACCAGTGGTTGATAACATGAGCATCAACCACCACACACATCAATCAGTCTGGGACATAATACTGTTATCTCACCCATCCTGCCTAGAGCAGACAAACCAGTGGTTGATAACATGAGCATCAACCACCACACACATCAATCAGTCTGGGACATAATACTGTTATCTCACCCATCCTGCCTAGAGCAGACAAACCAGTGGTTGATAACATGAGCATCAACCACCTGCCACATCAATCAGTCTGGGACATAATACTGTTATCTCACCCATCCTGCCTAGAGCAGACAAACCAATGGTTGATAACAAGAGCATCAACCACCACACACATCAATCAGTCTGGGACATAATACTGTTATCTCACCCATCCTGCCTAGAGCAGACAAACCAGTGGTTGATAACATGAGCATCAACCACCACACACATCAATCAGTCTGGGACATAATACTGTTATCTCACCCATCCTGCTTAGAGCAGACAAACCAGTGGTTGATAACATGAGCATCAACCACCTGCCACATCAATCAGTCTGGGACATAATACTGTTATCTCACCCATCCTGCCTAGAGCAGACAAACCAATGGTTGATAACAAGAGCATCAACCACCACACACATCAATCAATCTGGGACATAATACTGTTATCTCACCCATACTGCTTAGAGCAGACAAACCAGTGGTTGATAACATGAGCATCAGCCACCACACACATCAATCAGTGACAAACAATCAGGGAGGTAATTTACAAGTTGTTATCATTGTCAAAGCCACACAAATATTGCCAATAATCTGTCAGCCTAGGACTGTTCATTTCTTCCAGGATCCTCACCAAAATTGAAGATATTGGGCATCACCTTCCCTTGACAATGACTGTCATTTCTTTGGTGACCCTCTTGACATCTCTCCCCTCTAACTGATGACTGGCCCTGCGCAATCCATCATTACAATAAATGACTGGCCCCCAACTATCCATCGTTACAATTAATGAAAGGCCCCCAACTATCCATCATTACAATAAATGACTGGCCCCTGACTATCCATCATTACAATAAATGAAAGGCCCCCAACTATCCATTGTTACAATTAATGAAAGGCCCCCAACTATCCATCATTACAATTAATGAAAGTCCCCCAACTATCCATCATTACAATAAATGACTGGCCCCCAACTATCCATTATTACAATAAATGACTGGCCCCCAACTATCCATCGTTACATTTAATGAAAGGCCCCCAACTATCCATCATTATAATAAAATGACTGGCCCCTGACTATCCATCATTACAATAAAATGACTGGCCCCTGACTATCCATCATTCTAATAAAATGACTGGCCCCTAACTATACATCATTACAATAAATGACTGGCCCTTGACTATCCATCATCACAATTAATGAAAGGCCCCTGACTATCCATCATTACAATTAATGAAAGGCCCCTCACTATCCATCATTACAATTAATGAAAGTCCCCCAACTATCCATCATTACAATAAATGACTGGCCCCCAACTATCCATTATTACAATAAATGACTGGCCCCCAACTATCCATCGTTACATTTAATGAAAGGCCCCCAACTATCCATCATTATAATAAAATGACTGGCCCCTGACTATCCATCATTACAATAAAATGACTGGCCCCTGACTATCCATCATTCTAATAAAATGACTGGCCCCTAACTATACATCATTACAATAAATGACTGGCCCTTGACTATCCATCATCACAATTAATGAAAGGCCCCTGACTATCCATCATTACAATTAATGAAAGGCCCCTCACTATCCATCATTACAATTTATGAAAGGCCCCTGTCCATTAGGGGCTCTTCATTAATTAGTACTTGATCCTTAAAAGACAACCAATACACATTTTTTATATTGACCACCTTATCGTTATTGTAATCATCCCTTCAAACTCGCATGCAACTGACACAGAGTAAAGATATGATTAGCAGTCATCTACTGTTGGTCTTTGTGTGTGTGTTTGCTGTGTAAAGCCACACTCAGCAATATTACAGCCATATGACGGCAGTCTGTTAATAATTGAGTCTGGGCCAGACAATCCAGTGATTCATATTGTGAACAACGATCCTATCCGTTCGGGTACGATGACACGCCAGCCACCAAGTCGCCAAGTCTGACCATCCGATTCCATAGATGTCTAAATGCGTGAGAAGCCAAGGTGCAGCAGCTGCAAGCCCCGCAAGCCCTGGTTTTATAATGATTTTAAGACCATCTTAATGGCCTTAGAGAGCATGTAATCTGAAAAATTATATTTTTATCTACATTTTATATGAATGCATGAGAATTTCCCAACCATGCGTGTGAGCGAGACATAGGTGATAAATGCGTGAGACTCACGAGAGATGCGTGAGAGTTGACAGGTATGCGATTCATGATGTCTCCCCTGGGGGCCATCTAAGCCGGAATCCCCATGGGGTTGTCCACAGTTTACCACTGACAGGCTTCAGGCAATATCCCAGACACATACCTTGATGGCTTGGCCAAAGAACCCCTGCCCCAGCACATCCCCGATGATGAGGTCGCTGGCCCGGAAGACACGGTGGGACTGTGACTGCACCCGGAGGGAGTGAGACCTCCCCAGGTCGACGCTCTTCTGTCTGCAGGCGGGGACGGGGGAGGGGGACTTGCTGCGTCGTCGGGTCGGACTGTAGCTGAAATCATTCACACACATTAGCAGGACTCCTTTAAAGCCTTCACTGACGAGTAGGCATACTGTATCATTAAAAGATTTCCTGGCTACACCATCTATCAGAGACTTATCTAGGACTCCAAAACTTAGAGCCTTTGGCAAGCAAATTGGGGGAAATTTTGTTATTTTGTTCAAATATTTTTTTAAACCTATTTTCTGAAATTCAGAGGTCTTTTAACATTGTATATTAACATTGCATTCAAGAATGTAAAACTAAGCATTTAAGCCTCTCAATATTGGTCCTGCCACCACTGATTTACAAGTGGACCTGACCAAGCCATCACATTACATCTTACTGGGGGGGCACGGGATGCCCAGTCGTCTAAGGCGCAGTGATTTGCTGTGCAGAGTTGCGTCCCTTGGGCACGCCAGAAACCTATGATTGTGGGTTCGAATCCCGGTTCACCACGATTATGCTTCTAGGTTTGTCAGCACCATACCCGTGCTCATGGGTTTCACCGAAGTGGTAAACGTCTGAGACCTGCATCACTTTGGGCTTTCCTCCCACATTAAACTGACACGCCGTGATATAACTGGAATGCTGTTAAAAGCGGCATTGAACCCAGCTCACTCACATGTAACTGTATTACATTTTAATTCCAATTTTGGAATCTTTACTGATATTTGCTGCAGATTTATGGCTGCTTTCCGGCCTCTGAGCAAGTCTAGATATATCCCTGTCTATTGATTGTTTTATTGCAATGGACAGAAACTCAAAGTTCAGGGCATGCTTATAGTGAGTAAGAGACTAACACACATCTAGTCTCTGAAATGAACATGTCTTAGAGAATAGAGCCAGTTGTTAAATCATCTTTATAAAAATATAATAAAAAGGAGCCCAGAGATTCTTTTCATTGATACTGCAGTAATCTAGACTTGCAAAACATAATAGACTTGCTGTATTGGATATATTTGTATCAGGTCTCAGTATGACAGACTAAGTGATTAAGTGAGAGTCTGACAAGGCAGAACTGCAGCAGCTACAGAACACCAAGAATGACTCCTCCAACCCCAGCTTTGTGAGGAATCAACCTGGGACTTGGTGTGGCAAGCAAACGACTACACCGCCTGGCTACCATAAAACTCATGACTGTTCTACTTCAGTCAGTTAGTGAGTGAGGTGAGGTGAAATCGGGTTTAACGTCGCGTCCAAGATTATTGCACTTATATAGCGACGTGCATGTACGTGTGTGTGTTTGTGTGGCTGCTTGTACTAGTCCAGACTAATGCCGATTTATAGTGCTAGCTCACTGAGATACCATGCCGCAGTTTAACATGAATACAACACTCAGACACAGTATACTGACTCCGAGCCAACCAGTCCTTGTTTTAGTCCCTTAATGCTGAGCGCCAGACAGGGTAACAACAAGTACCATCTCTTAACGTCTTTTGGTATGACGTGGTCGGAGATCAAACCCCGGCCCTTCTGCTCTCCAGGCAGACGCTCTACCACTAGACCAAGGAGGTGGTCCAGTGAGTGACTGAGTTGATATTTGATGTCACATCTTTCTGGCCAAGATATCTTTTGCTCAACCAAGTCAGCAAGCCTGACTGCCTGATCCTGTTAAGCATGGGTTGCGGAAGATCAGACCTAATCGAGATCTTCAAGGGGGTTAAGATATCTGTAAGTTCATGTCTGTCTACTTGGTTAAAACTCTAAGCCTATATACAATGTTAAACTATAAGTCGACATCTACAGCGGAAGAAGTCAACCTGTGAGGTGGTAATCCAGCTTACTTTCTGGCCCTGAGGGAAGTCTTGGAGCGGAGTCTCACTGGGACCTTGTCGATGAGGACCTCTTCTGGTGATGATGGTGTTGTGCTGCTGTCGCTGGTGGGGGACAGGGTGTCACAGATGCGGATGGGGGACTGATCCCTCTCCACAGTGATCTGTATCACGTCCGATGTGTTCTTCAGCAGGGAGTCAACCTGGAACACCAGACAGTTGTGAGTGAGTGAGTGAGATTTTACATCACTTGTAGCAGTATTGTTGATAACATGGCCTGGCAGTTGTGAGTGAGTGAGATTTTACATCACTTGTTGCAGTATTGCTGATGGCATGGCAGTTGTGAGTGAGTGAGTGAGATTTTACATCACTTGTAGCAGTATTGTTGATAACATGGAATGGCAGATGTGAGTGAGATTTTACATCACTTGTAGCAGTATTGTTGACAACATAGCATGGCAGTTGTGAGTGAGTGAGATTTTACATCACTTGTAGCAGTATTGTTGACAACATAGCATGGCAGTTGTGAGTGAGTGAGTGAGTGAGATTTTACATCACTTGTAGCAGTATTGTTGATAACATGGCATGGCAGTTGTGAGTGAGTGAGATTTTACATCACTTGTAGCAGTATTGTTGACAACATAGCATGGCAGTTGTGAGTGAGTGAGTGAGTGAGTGAGTGAGTGAGTGAGATTTTACATCACTTGTAGCAGTATTGTTGATAACATGGCATGACAGTTGTGAGTGAGTGAGATTTTACATCACTTGTAGCAGTATTGTTGATAACATGGCATGGCAGTTGTGAGTGAGTGAGATTTTACATCACTTGTAGCAGTATTGTTGATAACATGGCATGACAGTTGTGAGTGAGTGAGATTTTACATCACTTGTAGCAGTATTGTTGATAACATGGCATGGCAGTTGTGAGTGAGTGAGTGAGTGAGTGAGTGAGATTTTACATCGCTTGTATATTATTGTTGACAACATAGCATGGCAGTTGTGAGTGAGTGAGTGAGTGAGATTTTACATCACTTGTAGCAGTATTGTTGATAACATGGCATGGCAGTTGTGAGTGAGTGAGATTTTACATCACTTGTAGCAGTATTGTTGACAACATAGCATGGCAGTTGTGAGTGAGTGAGTGAGATTTTACATCACTTGTAGCAGTATTGTTGATAACATGGCATGACAGTTGTGAGTGAGTGAGATTTTAAATAAACAATTAAACACTATGTCTGTACATCTACTTTACACACAGATTTCTTCAATAGGCCTGTGGCCTTTCAGTATTGTTGCAATAAAGACTTGACTGTGGCCTTATATAATGTAGTCTAGAATGACGGAATGAGTTGAGGGGTTCCCAGTATATTCCAGAATACATGGGGTCTACGTAGACGGTGATATAAGTTACGTTGTGTGTACTGACCTCCCGCACCGTCTTGTCCCTCACCGTGGTGCCGTTCACCTCCAGGATGCGGTCGCCGATGTTGAGAGCCTCCAACTCTGGACTCAGGTCGAGTCTGAAACACACAGAGACAGATCTATATACCCACTGCATACTTCACACTACAACGGTTCTGTGTACACTGGACAATCAAATTGGACTAACTCTTCCAGAATCTACTTCCACTTAACTTTATACAGTCTCCATTTTCTCAGAGGAATCAAATTGAACCTCCAGTCTATCCCAATCACAGGGGTACTACTTTTGCCAGTGTTGTTTAAATAACGCAAGCATGCGTGTGTGCATGTGTGTGCGTGACTGTGTATTGTTTCATGCCGCGCTCAGCAATATAACAGCTTTTTGCAGCAGCCTGCAGACCAGACAATCCAGTGATCAATATTGTGAGCCAGAATCCATGCCATGCATACGATTACACCCATTAAACCAAGTCACCAAGCCTGACCTACCAATCTATTTAGTCGCGTCGTACGACCAGCATAGGTTGCTGAGGACCAATTCCAACCTAGAATCCCACGGGGAGACCAGCATAGGTTGCTGAGGACCAATTCTTACCTGGAATCCCCATGGGGGGACCAGCATAGGTTGCAGGGGACAAATTCTATCCCAGAATCTCATGGGGAGACCAGCACAGGTTGCTGGAGACCAATTCTAACCCGGAATCCCACGGGGAGACCAGCATAGGTTGCTGGAGACCAATTCTAACACAGAATCCCACGGAGAGACCAGCAGAGGTTGCAGGGGACCAATTCTAATCCTGAATCCCCACAGGGAGACCAGCATAGGTTGCTGGTGACCTATTCCAACCCAGAATCCCCACAGGGAGACCAGCATAGGTTGCTGGGGACCTATTCTAACCTGGAATCCCAACAGGGAGACCAGCATAGGTTGCTGGGTACCAATTCTAACCCTGAATCCCAACAGGGAGACCAGCATGGGTTGCTGGAGACCTATTCCAACCCAGAATCCCCACGGGGAGACCAGCATAGTTTGCTGGAGACCTATTCTATTCCAGAATCCTCAGTGTGCATCTTGTAAAGACCTACTCTGATATCTTTATGAGCGGCTTCATCTTGACGCTGTCAATGCTGGTGGGTCGGATGTAGTGCATGTCCCTCTCCATCTGTAGCTGCAGCCCCCGTGTGCCGTCGGGGGTGGGGGGGATCTCCACCAACTGGATGGAGTGGGGCTTGCGGCGGCGGGGAGTTGCCGCCAGCAGGGGCTTCATCACCTTCTGGTAGCATGTTCGGCTGAAAAAAAGATACACATTTAGAATTTCATAACATGAAAGAGGAAATTGTTATTTCAGATGAAGAACTTCGAACAGTAAAAAGAAAATCAGTTTGTATCTTGGGTCAAGGATTTCACAACATTGCACTGTGTGCGTCCACTTACCTGTATACTGGGTACCCAGTAGTATGAAGGTATTGTCACATGGTGTGCATCTCCTTGTTTGTATAATGGGTACCAAGTAGGAGAAAGATATTGTCACAGTGAGCATCCCCTTGCCTGTATACTGGCTACCCGGAAGTATGAAGATATTGTCACACTGTGTGCATCTACTGGTTTGTATACTGGATACCAAGTAGGAGGAACATATTGTTGCCGTGAGCATCCCCTTGCCTGTATACTGGGTACCCGGAAGTATGAAAATATTGTTGCCGTGAGCATCCCCTTGCCTGTATACTGGGTACCCGGAAGTATGAAGATATTGTTGCCGTGAGCATCCCCTAGCCTGTATACTGGGTACCCGGAAGTATGAAGATATTGTTGCCGTGAGCATCCCCTTGCCTGTATACTGGGTACCCGGAAGTATGAAGATATTGTTGCCGTGAGCATCCCCTTGCCTGTATACTGGGTACCCGGAAGTATGAAGATATTGTTGCCGTGAGCATCCCCTTGCCTGTATACTGGGTACCCGGAAGTATGAAGATATTGTTGCCGTGAGCATCCCCTTGCCTGTATACTGGGTACCCGGAAGTATGAAGATATTGTTGCCGTGAGCATCCCCTAGCCTGTATACTGGGTACCCGGAAGTATGAAGATATTGTTGCCGTGAGCATCCCCTTGCCTGTATACTGGGTACCCAGAAGTATGAAGATATTGTTGCCGTGAGCATCCCCTTGCCTGTATACTGGGTACCCGGAAGTATGAAGATATTGTTGCCGTGAGCATCCCCTTGCCTGTATACTGGGTACCCGGAAGTATGAAGATATTGTTGCCGTGAGCATCCCCTTGCCTGTATACTGGGTACCCGGAAGTATGAAGATATTGTTGCCGTGAGCATCCCCTAGCCTGTATACTGGGTACCCGGAAGTATGAAGATATTGTTGCCATGAGCATCCCCTTGCCTGTATACTGGGAACCCGGAAGTATGAAGATATTGTTGCTGTGAGCATCTCCTTGTTTGTATAATGGGTACCAAGTAGGAGAAAGATATTGTCACAGTGAGCATCCCCTTGCCTGTATACTGGCTACCCGGAAGTATGAAGATATTGTCACACTGTGTGCATCTACTGGTTTGTATACTGGATACCACGTAGGAGGAACATATTGTTGCCGTGAGCATCCCCTTGCCTGTATACTGGGTACCCGGAAGTATGAAAATATTGTTGCCGTGAGCATCCCCTTGCCTGTATACTGGGTACCCGGAAGTATGAAGATATTGTTGCCGTGAGCATCCCCTAGCCTGTATACTGGGTACCCGGAAGTATGAAGATATTGTTGCCGTGAGCATCCCCTTGCCTGTATACTGGGCACAGCGTGCCATTTCTGTTGTCCCCCACAGTAACTTTGTGAGAATATTAATAAAAGTGTCGTAAAACGATACACAGTGTTATATGTGGACAGTGCTCACTGAATCTAGTTGAATGTATATACTTCAGAGTAGTTGTACGTATAATGATTAGGGGGCACAGGCGGCCAAGTTGTCAAAGACGCTGCAAATTGCTGTGCAGAATTGCGTCCCTTGGGCATGCCAAAGACCTATGAATGTGGTTCAAATAATGTTTCGCCCCGATTATGTTTCTGGGTTTGTCAGCACCATACCCGTGCTTGTGGGTTTCACCAAAGTAGTTAACGTCTAAGAGCTCCATCACTTTGGGCCTTCGTTCCACATTAAGCTGACACGCCATGATATAACTGGAACACTCACTCACTCATTCACTATGACAAATATTACTACAGAATAGGGATGTCATGATACGATCTCCTGATACGTTCACGTTCATGTTTGCTTTGTTCACGATTGTTAATTCACAGCAATTTTGCATGAATTGTTATATTTCATAGGGCATAAACACTATTACTATTAAACATTTTTTAAACTTCCTGAATATCTGGTTTCACATTTGAAAACAAATAGGTCTCATTTCAATCAATACTATATTTCAGATATACCGTATTCGACGTTATAAGCACCCACGGCGATATTTGCTAATATATTGGCTAGTGAAAATCCCAATTAGCACCCCTTTCAATAGATCAATGTACACAAGACTTATTTCTTCGCGTATAATACGCACTCGTGTGTTATATGCACCCTTAATCATGGGCAATTGAATTCTGGAAAAATATACCTTTCGTACATAAACATTTCATGCTGTCAGCATAAACCATGAAATTTATCTTTCAACTCTGTTTTTTTACCAAAATGATAAATTTTGAGAGCACCCTGGGCACTTATTGCGTCGAATACTGTATTGTCAACACCAGTGAGGAAAAGACTAAACCTGAAGCTTCTGATGAATTGGGAGTTTAGAATACTATGTAATAATGACAATATACTCCTGATAAATGTGTGAAACATTACTCAATTAAAATCAATTGAAACAGGTTAATGTCTTGCTTATGGTATCATCTGAGAATATTATTGACACACCAATGTACAAGTGAATCGTGGCCTCCCTGGAATCAGACAAAGGGAGAGACAGTAGGGTGGGATAGTGGCTGAGAAACTCTCATCTCAAACATATAAAAGCCTCAGATATTTAGACTCTTATCGATTTAAGGAAGAGAATATATGGATGTCAACTTCTTTATTATGAGGAACACAACGTTTCGGAGCATGTGCTTACTCCTTCATCAGGTGAATGAATGCCATGAGGCAGAGAGCATATATATGTACATGTAAGGACAACAAAATTAATTAATGATATGCTCCATGCCTCATGGCATTCATTCAATTGATGAAGGAGTAAGCACATGCTCCGAAACGTTGTGTTCCTCGTAATACAGAAGTTGACATCCATACAGAGCTACAGATAAGCTGCGTATCTGCGTGTAATACGCATCAGAAATTCAGAAATACACAGTAAAATATAATCCAAGGGTATGAAATACGCAATGAACATTACAGATACGCTACAAAAATAAAACTTGTGCGTATCATCAAAATATTGTGAAGTAACCCTGCGTATTCGATTAGCAAATCAGCAACTTATTTTGAAATTATAAAGGGGCATTCCGTCAACCTTGCCAAACTCCACGATGACAGTTACATCATGATCATTTGCCATCACACTTTCTTGTGGAAGTATCGTGGTATTTTTGAGTCCTATAAAGCTCTCGAACCCACATGACACCAGTTTGCAGGGACTAGATGAATAGTGTTTTTAAATATTTAACTTAAATACCCACATGTGTAAAAACTAGTGGGTAACAGAAATTTGAATACGCAGGTAGAATTACTGATACCCAATGATTTTAAAATGCATGGGTAAAATACCCACAACACCAAAAGCTTATCTGGAGCTCTGCATCCATATATTCTCTTCCTTATGTGTATCACTTCTAAATGCCTTTGAAAGACCTCTTATCGATTTGTACTGAAATATTCGATACCAAAAGACTTGTTTGAGATTCATTATCGACAACTCTTCCAACTTTTTTAGTTTGTAAACAGCAATAACCAGTGTCTTGAGAGTACAATTTACACCAAACCAGCTTCATTGACAAAAAAGACAAGCTTTGTTATTGATTGTGACATCACAGAAATTGATGATGTCTTATGGTTCTCAAAGCATTGTGATACAATTTCTTCTTAGGATATTTAGAGCACTTGACCCCACCCAGGAGATATATCCTGTGGAAGTCATTTATGGTTCATAATTATGACAGCCAATATGACTTCCAATAAGGAAGATAAAAGTTAAGAAAGTGATATCCGGTTTAACAACAGTATTAAAGATTCACAATTCTCACAAAACACCAAGCAAATGTTAGTGATGAGAACTATTTAGTATTCAGATGTTTGTAAGATAATGAAATGTAAGACCTACTTATACGACGCTGTCGGCCAGGAGTAGCGCATGATGGCTGAACAGGACCTGCTTAGTCAACATGGAGGAAGTGATTGTTCGCTACAGAAAGAATTTAACTTTGTCATATAACCTTATTTCCTGTAAAAAGACACAAGACGATCTGAGCTCAATTTTCAGTGTGTCGTGTAGTTTGTCGGGTGTTCTGTCTGATCAGCTGACGTGTTATTATTCCACCCTCAATGAGACTCTCATCCCACCTTTAATCGTTAATGGCCTTATTCCATCCTGAAGGACAAACTGATCCCCACCCTCAATGACCACATGCCATCTTTAATCACCTTATATAACTCCAAATGACCTCATCCCACCCTTAATGATCTCATCCCACCTTTAATGACCTTATACCATTCCAAATGCCCTCATCCCACCCTTAATGACCTCATACCAACCCAGATGACCTCATCCCACCTTTAATGACCATATACCATTCCAAATGACCTCATCCCACCCTAAATGACCTCATCCCACCCTTAATGACCTCATACCACCCCAGATGACCTCATATCACCCTAGATGACAACCTCATCCCACCTTTAATGACCTTATACAACTCCAAATGACCTCATCCCACCCTTAATGACCTCATACCACCCCAGATGACCTCATATCACCCCAGATGACAACCTCATCTCACCCTTAATGACCTCATACCACCCAAGATGATCTCATCCCACCCTTAAAGACCTCATACCACCCAAGATGACCTCATCCTACCTTAATGACAGGCTCATTCTATAATTAATGATACCCTCATTTCACCCTCAATGCCATCTATTACACAAGGGATCTATTCCAACAGATACTGATTCTTACAATGTTCAGGGTTATTCTATAAATAACTTGGTCAGAATTGGTACTACACTTAGTATTATACCCTTAAACTGACATACCATAGGATCACTTTTTGGTATAGTTAAAAGAAAAAATGTACAGTCTCGATTCAGTTGTCTCAAGTATTAATTTATCTAATTAAAATATTTCAACACTATTCACTTCATACAGTTAGTCCTAATATAAATCTGCTATGGAGAAATCATTTCTCCCTCTTAAACCATGTTATGGTTGACATAATTTCTCCATAATTCTGCATAATGAGTTAAAGTTGTGCCAGTTTACGTTTCCAAATGTCCATTCAGAATTGGCAGTAATTATCCCTAAACTGTTATCTGTCTCCATCCTGGGGCGATGGGTAGCCTAGTGGTTAAAGTGTTCACTCATCAAGCTTAAAAAGTTGGTTGGATTCCTCACATGGGTACAATGTGTGAAGCCCATTTCTGGTGTCCCCTGCCATGATATTGCTGGAATATTGGTAAAAGCAGCGTAAAACCTTACTCACTCTCTCCATCCTTGAACCTAGTCTTAAGCATAAATTACTCACAACCAAGAGTTGTCCATACCCACTAGTTTATTCCTTTTTCAGGATAGTTAAGAGTGTCACAGGGGAAACAGAATCAGTATTGACAGTTCCATAAATAGGGTAAAGTTGGTATTGATATTGATGGTGGTACAACAAGGAAATAACCATCCTCTGCATGATTCACTTTCAAGGAGGAAGAAGTTGCCCTCAGGAAATATCACTGTATGATAACACGCCTTCAAGTCACTAAGCCTGAACACCCAATCCAAGAATAGGTTGCTGGAGGCCCCCTAGTATCTGAGTGAGTGAGTGAGTGAGTGAGTGAGTGAGTGAGTGAGTGAGTGAGTGAGTGAGTGAGTGAGAGTTTCATAGGATTATTGTTTGGAGCTACACAGTCCTCTATGGTTGAGACATAAGTGAGTGAGTGAGTGAGTGAGTGAGTGAGAGTTTCATAGGATTATTGTTTGGAGCTACACAGTCCTCAATGGTTGAGACATAAGTGAGTGAGTGAGTGAGTGAGTGAGTGAGTGAGAGTTTCATAGGATTATTGTTTGCAGCTACACAGTCCTCTATGGTTGAGACATAAGTGAGTGAGTGAGTGAGTGAGTGAGTGAGTGAGTGAGTGAGTGAGTTTCATCAGATTATTGTTTGGAGCTACAGTCCTCAATGGTTGAGACATAAGATCTCGACACACAGGTCCATCCAACCAACCAAAGTGAGCTGAGGTTTAACACAACTGTGTGTGTGTGTGCATGTGTGCATAAATGTGTGTGTGTGTGCATGCGGGCATGCAAGTACTAGTCCTTACCCAAATGACGAACGACATACTCATAATTTAAGATTATCACTTATCTTGAAAATAATTCTTACCAGAAAAGTTTGGACCTTTCGACGAGTGCGTAGGTCTCTCCATCTCCGATGAATTCGTGGCAGTGGCAGCAGATGAAACACTCCGGGTGGTAGCGGTGATCACCTGCAACCTGAAATGTTAGAGAGTGCAGTCATCAGTACTTCAATAAATAAGGGGATCCAAGTAAAGGGTCATATATTTTTTTAAAGGTCAATGGTGAGTGAGTATTGGTTTGCTCCACTTTTAGCCAGGAATGTGCTTCACATATCGTATCCATGTTAGGAATTGAAACTTCGACGCCGGGAGCTAACGCTTTAACCACGAGGCTACCCAACTGCCTAGTCAATGATGAGGACGACCTTTCAATAAGAAACACTGACATGTATGTTACATCTTTTTCATACTGAAGTGTGACATTAAAAGGTGTTCCACAGTATTAACAAACCAAGGACAATCAGAGCAAATCTTTGTGGAAAAATATCAACATCCAAGATGAGAGTTATCTCCCCAATAGGGGGAGCATGAGCACCGGTATGATGGCAGCCTTTGATCATGGGACCCGTGAAGATCTGGGGTAGAATAGGTCTTCAGCAACCCTTGCTTACTGTAAAAGGTGACTATGCTTGTCGTAAGAGGCGACTTGGTTGATGCATGTCATCGTATCCCAATTGCTTAGATCGATGCTCATGATGTCAATCACTGGACTGTCTGGTCCAGACTCGTTTTTTTACAGACTGCCGTCATATAGCTGTAATATTGCTGAGTGCGGCGTTAAACAACAAACAAACAAACAAACACTGACCATGGCATTAAACTTTAAGACTAAGAATATTATTGCATGTCTTTTGTTGATGCTGCACGTTTAATGAGAGAACCCAACATGTAGTAGCAGGAATAATCAGATTATGGGTGAGCTTTGGCCATGTGGAGGCCATTTGCCTGACATGAGTGACACAGTTATCTCCCTTACCATGACCGGTCCCGTGATGATCTGGGCACATCCATTGCAGGCTTCACCGAACTTGCTCCAGTAGTCATTGCGGCAGTACAGGCGGCCATCTTTCTCAAAATACCAGTTGGAAAGACATCTATTGCACTTGGTACATCTGAAATGATACAAGATGAGTAAGATGATATTTCATATTGTACTGACTGAAAGCTGCTTTAATCAGGTAAAAAACAAGCCTTTATTTTGAACTAGTCCAAGGAAACCTTTACTACCTTCATCCTCGCCTCGAATCGCTGCAAGACTGCAGATGTGGCGTAAAACAATATTCACTCCTCACTCCAACATTTTTTCTGTCATTAGGTGACCGCCTCTGTGGTCTAGTGGTAGAGCGTCCGCCCGGAGAGCGGAAGGTCTGCAGTTTGATCCCTGGCCGTGTCATACCAAAATACGTTAAAAGATGGTACTTGTTGTTACCCTGTCTGGTGCTCGGCATTAAGGGGCTAAAACAAGGACTGGTCTGCTCGAAGTCAGTATACTGTGTCTGAGTGGGGTATTCATGTTAAACTGCAACATTGTATCTCAGTGGGCGAGCACTATAAAATTGGCATTAGTCCGGCCTGGTACAAGCAGCCATACACAAGTACAATAACCTTGGACGCAAAGTTGAAACCCCATTTCACCTCACCTCACCTGTCATAAGGTGAACAAGTTATTTTTAACAGTTATTATTGTCTTTCATGTACACTGAAAGAGATGCTTTCATCTTTTGTTAACGATTTTACATATTTGTCTGTTTGTAGTGAGTGAGTTGGGTTTTACGCCGCCACCTGTGCCCCCTGTCTGTTTGTAAATTCAGGACAAAGATGTTGGTAATTATAAACAACTAACTAACCTAAAACTACATATAAATCTGGTACAGTATAAGGGAGGCAACTCTGATTCAACTATTGTGAAAATCTTATCATGAAGCCCACAACTTGTAGCTGACACTGACAGAGACTCACTGTCAACAAATAACATCTAGAATTCATTAATGATCATGTTGATCAGAATTCAATGAGTTCATGAAAGCTGTACACAACTACCATTCCAACATAAAATGTCTAAGATTCCTATGGTACCACCACAAACAAAATATATCATACTCAACAGGTGTTATGACATACAGGTATTCCAACTAAAACACCTTGAAATAAATTGTGTTGTATCTTTAAAACAATACCAGTATAGAAAATAGCAACAAAAATAATTTAAAATGGGAGACAATTTGTCAGTGGCAGCATAAATGAAACAGTGTTTTACTCAACGCCAATCATTACTAGGAGTCAAAAATACATATTCAATGTCTGACCTGGTGAAATAAGATTTGGTTGGGTCATGGTAACATTCGTTTTCAACATGGAAAAACTCCGGGACAGAAATGTCAAGCCCCAGCCCAGGACGAAATAGCTTTGGATGTTTGAGTGAATATATGACAGCTATGTCTATGTGTACCTATTGATCAAGCTTAGCACATCAGACTTCAGTCTCAGGGGCCATTGCACAAATATTTCACTCAATTCCATGAGAAATATTTTTTAATTTGTTAATACACAAAAATAAGTTTGACTGGCACAGCTCCAAAACTTTTATACTTTATCATTTTCAGAAGTATAAAGAAGAAGAAAGAGCAAAGTGAAACATTACGATTTAAAAATATACATCTAAATGTATCTGAGATGATCCCTTCAAAACATTGAATGAGAACCTTCCTATCTGTTCCTGACTGTAATAGCTATAACGATTTAGTGCTCCTCTTTGATCATGCCACGACTCAAAAAAACATTTAAGGAAACATTTACTTCATCATATTGATGGAGTGGCAATTTAATACTTCTAAAATACCAGGTTTACTTCTAAAGCTCCAAATTAGTATTTCAAGTAGTTCAACATAAATTGGTGAAAAAAGGCAATGGAAAAAGAGTATTAAAACATGTAAAAGATTTATCAGATAGCAAAAGTTTCAAAGCACATATACAAAGACATAAATTACATGGATAATAAAATTTAAGCAATCTCTCATTTACAATTGATTCAATAAAACCACAAGTGTCCTTAAAATCAGATGTAAAAGTAACAAAACTTTTCTGCATGATGCATCGATGAAATCCACATCCCATGAATATCTCCCAGGGCATAAAACTCATATCCAACTGCCCCTGAACACAGAGCTGTCATTCCCTTGGATGTAATACAACACACCTGTCAATCATCCTGTGACTGGGACAGTATGAAATGTATCACACACGCAAAGTGCATGACTTTATACACATAAAGAACTGGGTGTGGCTACTGGAATATCACCTTGGCAACTTACAAATGTTACAAGGAAGATGTGAAAATTTTCATTCTGTTTTCACTGTCTCTTTCATTTCCACTTAAACCTCAAGTATATAAAATATGTATTATTTGTTTTGTTTTTTAAATATGGGCTGAGCAGGTAGTGCGTTAATGTTCTTGGAAGTAACTGTCATCATGAAAGTCCTGCTACCTGTCTGTGCACTTACGTAATATAAAATACCACAACAGTAGGATATTAACGAGAATTACTTCTGACTTACGTAACATCTTCACATGTGGCGTCAAACATGAAGAAGACTTACAACAATTATTTTTTAACCATCTAATCTGATTTACCTGTTCATTGAGGAAGACAGGAGCATTATTCAAGAAGTAAATTGCTCATATACCATTTACACAATTATTGTACAGAACAATAAGAAGTAATTTATTAAATAATTGGTTGAAACGTGATGAATCAATTTATTTACAAATATACATACGAAGAAAAATATATCAAGCTAAGATATATGAAGTTCTTATCAACTATTCAAACTTACTACTTTGTTAATGAATTAAGTTTTGCTGTACAACATATTAAGATAAGAGCATCTAAATAAAATACGAGATATAGTTTTTTGTACAAATGGACTGAAAACGCTATGCATTATTAATTATCTTCAGTATATCTTCTCTTGACATTTGTGTTTATGGGAAAGACTTACATTTAACTCAATAGATAGAAAAATAATATTGCTTTTTTTATCAAATATTAAAAGGAGTTGTGTTTCCAGCCCTCCCATGGTTCATTGATATGATCGATCCATGACTGATTTATAGATTGAAACGTTTATATGAGTCAAGACATTTTAATAAAATTCAAACAAACCATCATCCAGACTCACACGATCTTATCACAAGTGGGACATTTGCCACAAACATTTCCACCTAATTATTTTCATAGATTCAAGTCTGTATGACTCAGAAATTCAAAATAAACGTCTATTAAATGACTTTGAAAAGTCACAGAAACAAAACCATAAATTTAGGCTGTCATAAACTTTCCTCACATACTGACAAAAAACAAACTGCTGTAAATTATCAACCTAATCTATCATAATTATCATTAAAGCCTTATTTTTTACCTGGCTGACTCAAGCTTCATTCCCCGAGATCCGCTTTGGAATAAATAAGACAGAAGTACTTGATATGGCCTAGATACAAGCACTGTACAGATAGGCCGAGCTAGGTGATATATGGTTTGCTATACTTAATGGTGGTGGTGATCAAGGGGCGACGTGTGTTATGGCATCGTATCCCCTGGGGGAAGAGGCCACAAGGTTAACACACATTCCTGTCTGACGATGATACGGAAGGGCTGGTCACATTCTGACGTCATAAACATGTATTGAAAGGTTTTCACGACAATGTGAGCACCCTGGCTGTGCACATTTTATTCTCATGAACCACCTTCTCATATCAATAGTGGTGGGTGGGTGTTATAAAGGACACTCTGTTCTTAACAGTTCTCGGGGCTGTAGCATCAATACAGAAAGACGCTTGTATTAACAACAGCATCGTGACATAATCATGTTATATTTGAAAATAATACTGGTATTTTTAGAATAACCACAGACTTATATTTACACATTTTAATGATCACAAAGGTAAGATTTTTTAAATTTAATTTTATATCAATTTACAACTCCTCCCACATCATATTTCCATATATTTCACTGACATAACTATTTCAGATTTCACAGAATTGAAATACTACATTCATATTAATTTGTGACAATAATGCATTTATTAAATAAATAGATCTTATTGATGAAAGTTGAGTCGTGAATACCACACATTGAGAATACCTGTTCTTATTTAAGTCTAGCGGCCCCTCCCACCAGCCCCGATATCAAATCCTTAGGCGGAGACTTAGTTGCTTATTATTGGGACACCCCCTTTTTCAGGTGTAAATATATTCTTGTTTTCAATGTTGAAGGTTAAGATCTATTCTTGACACAAGGCCAAAGTCAAGATGTTGTCTTCAGCTGAAAACCTTTACAAAAATAAACACCCACAGCAAACACAACAATGTTACATTTTCCTCAACATTTGATATTTTTATCACTGTATTTTGAAAGGAATTTGATCAAGGATCACTGTTACGTTATACATTCTGAACCAGACACGGAAAGGGATTAAGGAATTTTGAAGGAAATTGGATCAGACTGAATAATAGTGATTTGTTATATTTGATGCATGTGTTTAAAGCATGACTCATGTGATGTAACATTAACTTATCATCATCATCATCATCATCATCATCATCATCACCATCATCATCATTCTGAATTAGGGCGGTCGGGTAGCCTAGTGGTTTAAGCGCTAGCTCGTCACACCGAAGACCCGGGTTCCATTCCTGACATGGGTACAATGTGTGAAGCCCATTTCTGGTGTCCCCCGCCGTGATATTGCTGGAATATTGCTAAAAGCCACGTAAAACCACACTCACTCATTGTGAATTGGTCATAACTTGACTCAATCTTGTAAAGCAAACATTTTAACAAGTTTAATAATTGATTTATTTTTATGAATTATTCATGAACATCCACCAAAGCAAATGGTAAAATTAAAAATAAAATACCTGTTATAAAAGCTGACATACCGATGCGATGTTTAACCCAACTTATTGCCCTACCTTCTCTGTCCCTGAGGCAATATCTGCCCCACCTCACAGAATCTTGTGACCATGTTTTTGAAACTGCACTCCTCATGTATTGGAATATTTCCTGAAGTGCTCCCACAATTCAACATTATATGTGCTCAAATCCTTTATTT